TAATTCTTGAAATAGAAACTGGTCACTGTCTTAGCTCATGATGAGAGAAACTTCTCACGTGAGACTCGGTCCTGACCTCAGGGAACAGAGGGGCAGAGTGTGAGCTGCACTGAGCTCAGGGTTAGACATGCACAAAACCTTGTATCAGCGTGGGGGGGGGGGCAGCCATGAGGGGAGAGAAAGAGACCTGCCGTGTCAGAGAGGCAAAAAGGCCAGGAGGGGTAATCAACAGCAGTCCCAGGAGCTCACCCTTGAGGAAGAGGAGTTCTAGGTCTAAACTGCAGGGTGTTGTGATGCGTACTTTATTGGTGAACTGTTGTGCGATGACAATTTGATCTGATGACATGTGATTATGATTGTTAAAAGAAGACTTTGGGATCGAGGTTGCATACTCCATCTCCATGTCATACCCAAGCAGGTTTGTCTTAAAGAGTCCTCCAAATCCTCTTGTCTGTATTGCTGGTGATTTTCTTTTCCTGTCAGGTCCCATCGCCCTGGTGGTGAGGTGGCTCCCATAACTCTATGACAAAGAGAACAACTTTCCTGAAAACACCACTTCCAGCAGGAGTTACTATTATTTATCCCATGATGTGAACTGTCTACAGTGGGAAGCCAGAAGCTCAGCCATGGGCAGCTCAGACACAGAGAGTCCATCAGGAACGTCTGACTGCCTCGACTTCCTGACTTGGTTTCTGGTGGGTGTCGTGAGACCCAACTTGATGATGTTAGCTTCTGATTGCTCTCTCAATTAGGCCACTCCAGTCATTTCTGCTGGATGTTGTGAGCAACCTGCTTTGGTGATGTTTTCCTACCTCCTTTCCCTATTTATTATTTTACACCTAATAAACTCACTCATTCAAAAGCTCAGCTATTCTAGATCTTTCTCCAGACCACAAAAAACAGTGGGCTTAGATGCTAGTCCTGTTACATTTAGACCCTTAATCTTAGACTGGATAGAGGAAGCAATGGGACCTGTTGCAATTTTACCATTCTGAAACTGGCCGATTGTGAAAGATAATTCTAGAAGAAGCATATAAATAAATGAAAGAGGAAGGTGGGAAGCCTAACCAATTAGGTCAGCAGTAAAATGTCTGTCATGTGAGAAGAAGGTCTCAGATACTGTTTGTTGGTTTTCTTGCTTGTTTTGTCTTTATTTATTTAGATAAAGGGTCTGACACGGTACTCTTGGCTGACCTGAAACTCACCACACGACTGAAACCGTGTGTGGTTATTTTCCTGCCTCAGCCTCCCAAATGTTATACAGGTCACCATGCTTGGCTCCAGGCCATTGTTTTTATATAGTATATGCAGAGCATTTGTGGCAGGAAGACGAGTAGTCTCCTGAGATGCCCACTCCGTAATCCCTGACCTACATCACCTCGAAGAGAGGCCTTTCCATAATGGAGGGGGATTAGAGTAAACCCAACAAAGTGACTAGTGTGCTTGTGTCAGTGAGAATATGGAATGATGGGAACAAGGAGTCAATGAGCACATTTGCTTGATGGAGGGGAGGGGCCACAAAGCAAGGAACAGGGTGTCTCCAACAGAAGGGAAAAGAATGATTTGTCCCTGAAACTCCTGAAGCACAGGGCCCTGCTGACCCCTAGACTCCAGCAGGTGTCACTCACGTTACACTTCTGACCTACAGAGCAGTGGGGAGAATGTGTTGTTTGGAACCCTTGTATTGTGGCATTTTGTTTTTCTTTCTCCTTCTTTTCTTCTTCCTCCTCATCCCCCCTTCATCCTCTCCCTCTTCCCCTTCTTCTTGTTTTCTGTTTTCTTTTGTTGAAATGGATTCACATAGCCTAGGCTGGCCTCAAACTCACTGTATCACCAGGGTCGGCCTTGAATTCCTGATCCTCCTGGCTCTTCCTCTATAGTAGTAGTATGTTCAATAAGCAGAAACTTTCTGAGTTTACCTTTCTAGTCCTTACAGTTCTGGATGGAGACTAGGGGTTTTAATGACCACCCTGAGTCATGCAGCTTAGGTACCAGACAGCACTTCAGGAAAGGGTGCCTGAAGGAAGAGCTGAAGACCAGAAGGAGGGTGCTCCTCCTTGTCCTGATGTGGGTGTGTCTGACGATGAAGGAGCCGTGATGACAATCATGTTCCAGCTAGATGCAACAGAAGAATACCTTCGTAATAACAAATGCTGAGAATGTGAGATACCAAGGATGGTGGTATTACCCTCTCTGACACACTAGTTCTACAGCTGTTGGACAGATGCCTAAGGTAGAAGACACTGAGAAATGTGGGCTTGCCTCCCAAGACTTAAACGAGATTGGCTTCAGTCTTTGCATGATTAAAAGGAATTGAGATGACTGTTCTACTGATAAAATGCAGGTCCCTTTGGAAACTGACCTCACCCACCCACCCCCCAGCCCCTGGTTTCCTCCCATAAGCAGTGGGAGCGGTCTCCTCAGCCTCATGAGACCGACTACCAAGAAGTGCAGCTTAGACACCCCAAAAGAGCCTTTGACACAAGCACAGTTTTGGGTTCTTTACACTGCCTCATGGGGCGTATGATCATGAACCTAAGAAGCAGGAAAGCAAGGGTGATCCCTGAATCCTTTGACATAAGGGCCTCGAGGTGGAGAGCATGTGAGCAGAGTATGAGAGTGAACGGCTGCCTACGAGATAAATAGTTAATTCCCCTTGGAGTTAAAGACAAACCTGCCATGTTTCAACTCTAGAGGCTGCTGACAACGTGACAGGTGTACTTTATATAGCATCCGACCATGCTCTGGACTAGGACACACTGCAAGTACAAAGTCAGGTGAAAGGCCAGTACCTGCTGCTTGCATGGATGGATGTGACTTTCCAGGAATCGGGGAATCCACATTAATATGTTCCTTGACACATTCTTGCAAAGATCTCGCTTCCTTCAATTCCCTGAATTAGTAAGTCTGCCGAGAAAATTTATATATATATTCCCTTTGTCAACTTTACACTTATTTAAAATGAAAGCCTATAAGAACAAACATCAACACGGTGTACATACAAACACACACTCACCCCAAAAGAGCCTTTGACACAAGCACAGTTTTGGGTTCTTTACACTGCCTCATCACTGACAGAGCAAGCCTAACGGACAGGCACTGCAATGTGCTGGTAGTGCTACTTTTCAGTATTCATAATATTTAACAAGATCCCAATGAGGAGATGTACATGGGGTTACAGGTCAAGTGGAAAAGCCACTTGAAACTGTACAGCATCCCAGATGTGTTCCCTGTGATGAGACTGTGAGAACAGACAGCCAGAATCGGAGCAAGCAGCATTTCTAGATGGCAAGATTACACACATGGATTTTTCTATGTTACTTTACTCAGTGCCATATTTTCTATAACTGAGCATATTGTCATCAGATAAAAAAGTAATTATGCATATTAAAGCTAAAGTTTTAGATGGTGAGTTTCAGCATCCAAAATAATCCTTTGCTTCGTCACAAGCTGTGCAAGACAGAGCCGAAGCACATACCCGGGTCTGCAGGTGACCACTGATGGGTTCCATTCAGCAGCAGCCCTCAGGGAGACAAAATATCTTAAGCTCCATGAGACTTCAAGATGGCCCTTCTCTCACATCACAAAGAGATCATGCTTGGCGATTCCAATGTGGTAAGAAATAAAATGGCTCCCACGATGTTCATGTCTTAACTCTTAGGACTTATGAATGAGTCATCATATATGACAACAGGGGCTCTTGGAATTCATTTGGGAATTTGGGAGGGCTAGAGTGTCCTGGATTGCCCATAGGCCCCTAAAGGAGAGAAGGACTGTCACACACCTTCCTGTATGGTGGTCATGAGAACCTCTGAAATTAGGCCTCTACCTAGGAGTCTCCACATTTGTGTATCTTGTTTAAAATGGTGCTGCCCCTCCCCAACAAATAAAAACAGGAATTTCATAATCCAAAAAAAGCCCCACATGTGTTCGCTTTCTTCTGTTAACAGACCTCCCTTTCTCCACGTTGTGTTGCATCCTTCAAATGTCCACAATTTCCCCATCAAGAGGCCTCGGCGGTCCAGCTGTCTCGGTTGGCATCCTCTATCCACTTCTATCCGTCTGGCTCAACAGCCCATGAACTCTAGCCACTCCCAGAACATGGCTCCAGACAAAGGAATGTGGCTTCGCCCAATGTCATGCCCAGGGACAGAATGAAGAATGGACAGGAGGATTTTACATTGCTTGCAGTGCCCAAGTCCTGATGTTCTAGGTCCTATCCAGATAGTGTGTGCATCACAGAAGAGTCTTAGCAGAAAACTTGTCCCT